CAGAAACAAAGTGTACCCTCAAAGAGCAACGTGCAGGTAAGCGTTTTTTTTTTTTTTGGGGGGGGGGGGGGGAGGGGGAAGAAAGGAGATGGAAGGGCTGCCTGCAAAAGACATTCATAAGGAAATGCTTTCTGTTTATGCTGGCTAATGTTTAGTCAGTAATATGGTGCATAGATGGGTAAAAATATTTTCTTAAGGACGCTTTAAAATTGTTGATGAAGTCCGATCTGGTCGTCCTGATGAGATTGCAACAGGTGCATCATTGCAGCGGGTGGAAGAGATGATTAGAGGTGAGAGGGGAGTAACGGTTGACTCTGTAGCATCTGCAATGGAGTGCTCCAATGGTTCAACATAGAACAGAATGCATGATCGATTTAAATTTAAGAAAGTGTGCTCAAGGTGGGTACCCAGAAATTTGACGGACAAACACAGTGTGGTTTAGAAAACAGGACAAGCAGTTCTATGCAGCAGGTTTGGGAGGGACTGATAAAGTTTTGGGACAAGTGTATCAATGTTGGTGGAAATTATGTTGAACAAACAACCTTTTGTGACATACTTCCTCTTGTACTTTTCGAAGCTATGCGTTCTAGGTTACATTCATGGGCGCTGGAACCTAAGGGCATTTTCCAGCCTTTATTTGTATATTTCACATTGTTTTCAAAATAGTATTTCTTAGTTCTTATTTCAAATTACGTAAAGGTCAATTTTTCACGCTTATAGTCGTATCGGGCACATAGGGCTAGACCTAGATTTTATGGACTAATCGGCACTTGATGGGTAATGTGGCCAGCATCACCCCTGCTGCTTTTACTTCAGTATAGCGACTGGTCGGGTGATTAAAACATGTGAGCTTTCACCTGGAAGATCCGGATTCGATTTCTGGAAAAGGCGATGGGAATATCTGATTCCTGACGGAGAGCAAGATGTCAATCTAGCCTGCGAATCGTGCCGACTGCACTATCTACGTGGCCGTAAATCAACAGCTCCAGTACCGTTTTGCTTGATCTCCTCTTTCTTCTTAGAACTTCTTACCCCACCTTTTTCTTTCTTCCCTTCCTCCTCCACTCCCCCCCCCCCCCACCCCACTTCCTTCTCCTTGTTATTTTTCTCTTCACTTCCTCCTTTTTTTTCGGCTTCTTCCTTAAATTAGTTGCGTATCCTTTACAAGTCGTTACCGAACCAACCCCATGAATTGTATACTTCTCTAATTGACTGTTGCTGTTTTGCTAGGCACATTTTAAGTTCAGTAGTTTGCCATTGCCACTCAACGGTCGGCTCTCGTACCATTGTCGAGAATCTGCTATCAAATCGCATGCAGCTGGGATCTAACCTGGCACCCCAGCGTTAGGAAGTGCGTTCGCAACACCTAGGCTACACACGCCAAATTAGGTGCCTTATTTAAGCGCGTAAAAATTATTGCGTGTTGATGACCTACACATACAATAATATATCTGAAATAATATAAAATGTTTAACCAAACGTCGACCTGTGAAGGTTAGGCGCTACGACACACACACACACACACACACACACACACACACATATATATTTCTATACACACACACACACACATATATATATAAATATACGCACACAAACACTCCCACATATTTATTCTTTCATGATCATACCATACATTGCTTTCTTAATGTATTATGCTTCTTCTTTATATATTATTTATTACAATGTACCACTCTCTCCCTCTCTCTCGCTGTCTCTCTCTTTCTCTCTCACACTCTTCCATTCTCTCTCTCTCTCTCTTACTGTCTCTCTCTCTCTCTTCCTCCCCCACTCTCGCTTTTACTCTCGTGATTTCTTTCACTCTCTCTTTTTCTCTCTGTAACTCACACACTCTCTCTCTCACACTCTCTTACTGTCTCTTTCTTTCTGTCTCTCTCACTCTCTCTCTTTCTCTCACTCTCTTTCACTCTCTCTGTCTTTCTCTCACTCACTCTCTCTTACTCTTTCTTGCTGTCTCTTTCACTCGCTCTATCACTCACTTTCTCTCATTCTCGTGCTCTCACTTTCACTCTCTATCACTCTCTCTCCCAATCTCTCTCTAACTTAAACTTTCTCCCACTCTCTCTCACTCTCTCTCTCATTTCTCACTCACTCTCTCTCTCTCATTTCTCAATCACTCTCTCTCTCTCATTTCTCACTTACTCTCCTCTCCTCCTCCCCCTCTCTCTCTCTCTCCCCCTGTTATTCTCTCTCTCCCCCCCCTTTCTCCCTCACTCTCCTCTCTCCCCTCCTTTCTCACTCTCCTCTCTCCTCTCTCCTCCTCCCTTCTCCCTCTCTCTCTCTCTCTCCCTCCTCCTCCTCCTTTCCCTCCTCCCCCCCTCTCCTCTCATTTCTCACCCTCTCTCCTCTCCTCCTCCTCTCTCCTCCTTCTCTTTCTTCTTCTCACTCCTCTCACTCTCTCCTCCTCTCTCTCTCCTTCTCCCTCTCTCTCTCTCCTCCTCTCTCTCTCCTCCTCCTAACTCACTCTCTCATTTCTCACTCTCTCTCTCTCATTTCTCACTCACTAACTCTCTCTCTCTCTCTCTCTCTCTCCTCGTTTCCCTCTCTCTCATTTCCCACTCTCTCTCTCTCACTCTCTCTATTTCTCACTCACTCTCTCGCTCTTTCTCATTTCTCACTTACTCTCTCACTCTCTCATTTCTCATTCTCTCTCTCACTCTCTCTCACTCTCATTTCTCACTCACTCTCTCGCCATTTCTCATTTCTCACTCACTCTCCCACTCTCTTATTTCTCATTCTCTCTCTCACTCTCTCTCTCACTCACTCTCTCGCTCTCTCTCATTTCTCACTCACACTCTCTCTCTCTCACTCTCTCACTCTCTCGCTTTCTCTCATTTCTCACTCACACACACTCTCGCTCTCTCTCTCTCTCTCTCTCTCTCTCTCTCTCTCTCTCTCTCTCCTCTCCACCTGTACTGTATGTTTCTCTGTACAGATATGTTGTTTCTCCTAGGGCCGCCATCAACATCGCAGTGTTGGAGCTGAACGAGGTCGGGGACCTACTGCGGCTCTACCAGAAATGGTGGTACGAGAAGGGACAGTGTGCGGCCGACTCGGGCAAGGTGACACTCTGCCATTAAAGATGTGATCGACGTCGTCGTTGTCATCGTCATTGACATTGTCGGCATCATCAATTTTCATTATCATCGTCGTCATCGTCATCATTCATCAATGTCATCATCATCTATCATCTTTCATCATCTTTTTCCTCGTCATCATACATCCTCATTATTCGTCATCATCATTATTCATCATCATCGTCATAATCATTGTCATCATCATCATAGTCATTTTCATCATCATCATCATCATCGTCATCATCGTCATCATCGTCATCATCATTGTCATAGTAACCATCATTGTCATAGTCATTGTCATCATTATCATCATATTCATCATTATCTATCATTCATCATCAACATCATCATCATTATCATAGTCATTGTTTTCATAGTCATTGTCATCACTATCATTATCCATCATCATCGTAATCTTTTTTTATCATCATCATGTTTCATCATCATCAGTGTCTTTATTATTATAACTCATCATAATCTTCATCGTGAACACCATCATCAGTCATCATCATAATCTTCATCGTTAACACCATCATCAGTCATCATCATAATCTTCATCGTTAACACCATCATCAGTCATCATCATAATCTTCATCGTTAACACCATCATCAGTCATCATCATAATCTTCATCGTTAACACCATCATCAGTCATCATCATAATCTTCATTATTAACATCATCATCAGTCATCATCATAATCTTCATTGTTAACATCATCATCAGTCATCATCGTAATCTTCATCGTTAACATCATTATCAGTCATCATCATAATCTTCGTTGTTAACTTCATCATCAGTCATCATCTTAATCTTCATCGTTAACATCATCATCAGTCATCATCATAATCTTAGCCGTTAACATCATTATCAGTCATCATCATAATCTTCGTTGTTAACTTCATCATCAGTCATCATCATAATCTTAGTCATCATACTAATAGTTATGGCAATTAGATTGTCATCATCGTCTTCATCATCATTATTGTCGTCGTTAACATCATTATTATCATTATTATTTTCTTCCTCTATTACTTCTCCTCCTCTTCCTTTTCCTACTCATCCTCTTCCCCCTCTTCCTGTGTCTGTTACTACACAACGACAAATTTGACTGCTACTAGTATGCTACTACTACCACGAATACTGCTGCTGTTACTACTACTATTATCAATATCATTTCTACCACAACGTCACCACCACTACTATTACTGACACTAATACCACCACCACCACCACTAATACTGCTAACATTATTACTACTACTTCCACTGCTACTGAAACGGCTATTTCTATTACCATTACTGTGACTATATTACTTTTACTAATGCTCCCATTACAATTACTACTAGTGTTACTGCAACTGCTATTACGGCTACTTCTACTACTACTACTACTACTACTACTACTACTATTACTACTACTACTACTACTACTACTACTACTACTACTACTACTACTACTACTACTACTTCTACTACTACTACTTCTACTACTTCTACTACTACTACTACTACTACTACTACTACTACTACTACTACTACTACTACTACTACTACTACTACTACTACTACTAATACTACTACTACTACTACTACTACTACTACTACTACTACTACTACTACTACTACTACTACTACTTCTACTACTACTACTACTACTATTACTACTACTACTCTTACTTCTACCCCTCTCTCCCTCCTTAAACACTCAGTGTACGCTATTGGCGTCTAATCGGCCCCTTTTTCGCCCCCACCCGCGCGTTAGAGATATATAGGCTGACCGTCATTTTATTGTACGAAGTTTTTTCGCCAGGGACACAGATGAGTATCATTTACTTTATACATTAGAGTCCTATGTAGCCACTTCATAGTTAGAGCATATTTGTGTATGTGTACTGTGTTGTCCTTTATGTGCCGATGAAGGCTAATCGCCGCAACGTCCTTTGTTTGTTAATTGTGATCGATTTTTTAAAGGTAACATAAACTATTAGTTGTTTCTTACCAACTTTTTCTCTTCCCTATAATTTTCTACTCCTTTTAAAAACTTCAGTATTACTAGAGCTTCTTCACTTCCTGCGAAATCTTACACCAGCCCTCACTGTCCTGGCGTTAAATTCCACACCGTTAAATAACAACCGTGTCCCAGCCGTTAAATTCAACACCGTCATATAACCCCTGTCTGCTCCAGACAGCGATGTTTTCTTCTAACGGTGTCTGACCTTTCCTTCCACAAGTGAACTTTGCCGGAAATGTGTCATGTTTGATATAAAAAATGTACATATGGGAAGTTTCCGCTAGTATAGAATATGTTATAGAGATAAAAGGACTCACTGATTATTGATTTAAGATTCGAAATCAGAACATTCTGGACATAAACGTAGACGACCCAGCAAGTTCCAGAACAAGGTCAAGAATACAATGTCATCGTCCTGTATAACAGCGGTTCTCAACCTACGGGTCGCGACCCTTTTGTGGGTCGAACGACCATTTCACAGAGATTGCCTAAGACCATTGGAAAACACAAATTTTGTGAAGTTTGGAAGTAGCAAAGAAAATAATTGTATGGTTGGAGGTCACCACAACATGATGAACTGTATTAAAGGGTCGTGGCATTAGGAAGTTGGGACCAAGGGATGTAAAAGGTCCTAAGCAGAACGTCGTTCTCATTACGGTCTCTTCCTAGTTCTTCGGCAAAGTGTACAATCCTACCAAAGGTGTCACTTATATCATGTGCCCGTCTTCGCAATGGTCGGTCCATGTCTCTTTCCTGGTACCATGCCTTTTGATTTTTACCGCCCTAATCCGTAATAGTGCTTGAGCTAGCGAACAAATTAGTTTCCCAGACAAGGTGCTGTTTACTAGCCAATCTCCCTTGCTGTTCAATTCCTTTAGTAAGTCAGTATGTCCTTTCTTCTTTGTCCATGGTATTATGAGAATCGTTCCATATCATTTCAGCTCTAAAAAATCCATTTTCTTCCTTAAGGACTGAAAATAGGTGGCGACTCAAATACGTATATTGCTACAAGGAAGATGTATGCTCTCTAAAATGTGCCTTTGATTCCTTGCTGGTTTTTAACCATAGACTTTAATTACTGTTTAGTACATAATCTGCGTCGGCTCTGTGGCTAAGTCGATGCGAACGCTTCGTAATGCCGGGATGCCGGGTTCGATCCCAGCTGCTGCCCACGCGCATTACGTTGGTTTCGACAGTGGTATCAGGGGGCCGACCGTCTAGCAAGCAATGACAAACTACTGACGTAAATTTGCCTACAAAAACCACACAACAGCCAGGGGCTGTTGGGGTTGGTTCTGCAACGTCCTGTAAAGAATACGCAACTAAACTAACATAATTTGCAGTGCGATAAATGAACTTCTTCCTCTTTTGTCGTCCGCTGATACCAAGCTGTAGCCCAGTGTCGTTGTTTTCTGTACTTGTCTTGCGCTTCTAGGGTGGCATGAGCGATGGATTTGTCAATCTCTTTTTTGGTCTTCACCTCGCCTTACTCTCAAATGTGCCTTTCTCATATGGACTGCTATATTTATATGTCTTTCTCATATGGACTGCTATATTTATATGTCTTTCTCATATGGACTGCTATATTTATATGCCTTTCTCATATGGACTGCTATATTTATATGCCTTTTTCATATGGACTGCTATATTTATATGCCTTTCTCATATGGACTGCTATATTTATATGCCTTTCTCATATGGACTGCTATATTTATATGTCTTTCTCATATGGACTGCTGTATTTATATGTCTTTCTCACATGGACTGCTATATTTATATGTCTTTCTCATATGGACTGCTATATTTATATGCCTTTCTCATATGGACTGCTATATTGATATGCCTTTCTCATATGGACTGCTATATTTATATGCCTTTCTCATATGGACTGCTATATTTATATGTCTTTCTCATATGGGCTGCTATATTTATAAACCTTTCTCAGTTAATTTCAATGAAAGAGGTTCATTTAGTGATATCAATAGGGCCGTCACTAATAATTTTAATGAAAGGTGAACATTTAGCTATATCTGATCTGTGCGTCATTCTCATTAATTTAAATGAAAGGCGGACATTTGGCTATGTGACTTTCGCTCCTAATTTCAGTAAAATCCTGTCATTTAGCCACAAAATCTACACAATCTTCTTTGTTAATATTATCATCTTTATAACTTTCTCTGTTAATTTCGCACTGGGAAATAATGTTTTCATTACTCTCAAGTAAACTCTTGACTTCTGCCAGGAGACAACCACGAGCGCCCTGACCTTGAGCAACGTGTCGGGGATATTCCATATCCTCATCGCCGGCCTCATTCTCGCCATGATCACCGCCCTTATCGACTTCCTGGTCAAGCGTAAGTTACGTCACAGGAAAAAGATCAAGGTAAGTGTGTGTATTCATCTTCTCATTAGCTTTTTTTCAGCTGTAAACTCCGCCGGAAATTTCTAGTTACATGCACACTTCTGGACTGTGATCTTGTCCCAGAACTTGACGTGTGAGTGCATGTCTGTTTTACAAATCAGTGTATTTAAATGCAGAGTATTGGTTCATCGCCTTCGATGTAGACGCCCTCCGACTTCGAACTAAACACCCCTATTTAGCCGCCTTTTACAGCATGCGTGTTGGGGGCAGTGGGACTATCTAGTCTACCCCCCCCCCCCAAGGGCCCCAGAACCACACAGCAAAATGTATTTACATATATTGTTTTAAGCACCGCTTTTCATTTTTAACGTCAACTTGTCCCAGTCCCAGACAACGCACGTCGCCACCTCCCCCCACACCCTGAAAAATGGCCCCAGAACCACACAGGGAACTGTATTTAAATGTAATGTTGTAAACAGCGCTTTTCATTTTTAATTAACTCGTCCAGTCCGAAACAACGCACAGACTTTTACCTGCATACGGCAGCAGGTTACAACAAGGTACGGTTGGCCGGTTGGCCGTTATGTGTGCGCTAGTTATAATTTCTTTCCAGATTGAACAGAAATACTGCTCAGTTCTGGGCAACTTGGTGTTGAACTGGTGCATGAAAAGCTAAATGTTGTGAGGGCCCTTTGGGAGCGAGTGAATAGTGTGGAGGCACAAATGGATCTTTACGATCTGAGGACATCAGCGCTGCTGGGAGTTACTAGGGAATCTGGTTGACGCTCAACACTTAAGGGAAAGGCGATACGGATGTACAGTCAGACAGTTACTGGTACCATCACAACTGGAGATCTTCGATTGTTGCTGAAAACGGGGATGGAGCGCTTATGGGAGTGTCCTCAATGCTGTATTGTCGATTCCTAATTCAACATAATCTTTAGGGACTGAACCGGGTACTGAAATTTGCCTAGTGGGTCTGCCATCCAGACTGGGATTATTTATTCTGAGTGTATCTAACCTTAAGGTGGAAGCCCGGAGTGGTGAAATGACACGGCAGTCAAACCTTAAGGTGGAAACCAGGAGTAGTGAAATGACACGGCAGTCAAATTTTAAGGTGGAAGCCCGGAGTGGTGAAATGACACTGCAGTCAAACCTTAAGGTGGAAACCAGGAGTAGTGAAATGACACGGCAGTCAAACCTTAAGGTGGAAACCAGGAGTAATGAAATGACACGGGAGTCAAACCTTAAGGTGGAAGCCAGGAGTGGTGAAATGACACGGCAGTCAAACCTTAAGGTGGAAGCCCGGAGTGGTGAAATAACACGGCAGTTAAACCTTAAGGTGGAAGCCCGGAGTGGTGAAATGACACGGCCGTCACACACTTTAGTGGAAGCCTGGATTGGTGAAATGACACGGCAGTCAAACACTTTTTTTAAAAACCTGGAGTGGTGAAATGGCACGGCAGTCAAACCTTAAGGTGGAAGCCCGGAGAGGTGAAATGACACGGCAGTGACACACTTTAGTGGAAGCCTAGATTGGTGAAATGACACGGCAGTCAAACACTTTTTTAAAAGCCTGGAGTGGTGAAATGACACGGCAGTCAAACACTTTGGTGGATCAGAGATATCAAGATTATGTTCTTGTGCCATCAGCGTCGCTCTAAGCTGTTTAGAAAAGTTGTCATCGCCTCATCATCACCTCAGTAGACGACTCTACAGTGATCGTATTTTTTTTTCCCCGGTTGTCGTCGGCTGTCGTAATGTAACCTATAGGTTTTAACAGGATTTCTGGCACTTGAACCCCGGCGATTCTCATCCGAATAGTGGCACCTTGTGTCATCGGGTGTTTATCGATCGTTGTACGGTTGTGCGGTTGTACGTCAGTCAGTCAACGCTCCAGTTATCTTAGCACACAATTATGTCTTCATATCCCTCTTCCTTGCATGTCCGGTCTCCTCCTCCTAGCTTTTCTCCTTCTCTTTCTTCTTCTTCCTCTTTTTCTTTTCTTCTCATTCTTCTTCTTCTTCTTCTTTTTCTTCTTCTTGCTCTTTTTCTTATTTGCTTCTTCTTCTTTATCACCTAACAGGCACTGTGGCGCATTGCCATTTCGCTTACAGCTAGGCCGTGATATCTGATCCCTTTACTATCACCTTATTTCAGCAAGTCTCAGTAAGCTTTAACAACATGCTTTTTTTTGGAACATGCTGCTGGAAAGGTACATTTTAAGGGAGATAACGAATTGTGTGTTCAATGCAATACACGATAAGCTACAACAAGTTAGTTCCCCTAAATGATCATTGTTGTCTTTTCGCTGCTCGGCCTGACTGACTGACTGACTTTCTACCCTACTAGGACATCACACAAGCGATAAACACCCGATGACAGAAAGTACCACATGTGGGGAAGGATTACCGTGGAGAGGTCCCAGAAACCGCCTTTAGCCTTTCGGTCATATTTATGGCAAGGCTAGATTGCGGCCCCTGGAAAGAGCCAGAGTAGGGCTTCACATAACAAAAAAATTCATCCTAAAAAGGACGAGAAAATTAGTGGATAACGCTGCTACGTGGAGATGGTACGAGTTAGGACGGATGGTGACAGGTAGATAAACTGGAAAGTGGATGTGTCAATAGACCGGTATGTGAAATGGATTAAATCTGAACACATCAATATTTCAGCAGTTTAAGAAGTTAGTGGCGCGCTCTTTGACTTTGTAGAGCCAACTCTAGCTAAATTGCCAACATCTGGGATTGAACCTGGCACTCTACTTACGAAACCCGTTGCTAACGCCTAAGCCACAGACGCCGACTGGTAGTAGAGGTAGGTCATTAAAACTACAAGATTCTTTTCGCTGTTGGACTGGAGGTTACATCTGGCTGCTGTAGCGTTACGTTGACCCCCTTCTCTATCTCTCTCTCTCTCTCTCTCTCTCTCTCTCTCTCTCTCTCTCTCTCTCTTCCGGGCTAGATAAACCATTAGGCACACTAGGCACGTGCTTAGGGCATCACAAAGAGAAGGAGCACCACAAACATTTTCGATAGCCTTGGAGCTGAACGTTTATTTTCTCAGTTGAAGTATATTTTTATAAGCCTTTATTATTTTAGAAATTTTTTGTTGGTTTGTGGGTTTGTCTAGGCGAAAGTTTCAGATTGATTTTAATACTATTTCTCAATACGCTTTAATGCTGATATTTTGGACACACGTGTTTTGTGGGTGACAATGCAATGTGGTGGAAATATATTACGATGTACGCAAGATAAGTAATAAGAGCTTATAGTATTAAAAGTCATTTTTGTTTAATCCTACCAGAACAACAATGCAACAAGGCATACTAGATGTCTTATCTCTGTTATGTATAGATGTGTTACGTAAGATACGTTTTGAGTATCTGATCAAAGACATTGCCATATGCAGGAGTGCGAGGGAATGAAAGAGCGGATTTTCTGGCTACAAAAACTAAAGCTACGGGAAAACTCGTACTGGACAAGGGAGATATTCTGAAGACCATATCTGAACGACTGTTGACAGAATACACGAGATTAGATGAAATAACAGGTACAAGAATGTGTAACTATGGATTAAGTGTGGATCCGGCTAACAGGGACGGATGAGAGGAAGAAAACGATGTATGTGTAATCAGTGTGCTACAGGAACAGTTAGTATCTACACCTTTAGATATTTGCTGCGGAAGACGGAGCATCAAGGGGTATGCCCAGTGTGCTATGATGACGATTCCTAAATCATTAAACCAGATCAATAGAGTGTTTTGTGTTGGTTTAATACTGCATATTTTGTGAATTACATCCATGGGGCGCCAGTGCCGTCTCAGCTCGTGCTGTCCGGGGCCCCACGAGTATAGGGGTCCAGGCTTATCTGTGCATGTCAGATGACCATTCACAATTCCTTCCTGAGAGTGGTTGTAGGAGCCCCAGCACATGAATTTGTCCAGGGGCTTATGGTATTGTTAGGACAGCTCTGAGTTGGACACAAAAATCTACAAAGTGCTGGAGGCATCAACGAGTCGTCACCCAGGCCTGGTTGCCCTAATTATAACTACTCTGAAGTTTGAAAGGAGTTCTTGGATTTGGCCCGTTGGTCTGTCATCTAGTCTGAGATTATATATTCTCATGGTCTTACGTTGTTTTAGAAGCAGTCCGGACCGAAAAACGACACGCACGCACGTCTTGTATACCTCTTGCCCTCCTGTTATCCTTTAGAAAAAAAAGTTCGCTCATGCATTCTTCTTCTTATGTTCCCTCCAGTGTGGTATTGTAAAAGCATTATCTATTCACAAGTTGTTCTAAATACATCCAGTCGGAAATGAATGCGTTATACTCACACTTGTATCACTGCCTACTGCTTGCCCTCCTGTCTTCCACTGTTCCCTCAAATATGGTTTTATACAAGTGTTATCCACTGAAAAGTTGTCCTAAACACATCCACCATCTAGCAGGACGTGAATGTGTTTTCCTCCCACTTGTGTCATTGCATACCTCTTGTCCTCCTATCTTTCACTGCTTTCTCAAGTAAGGTTGTATAAAAATTGTTTTCACTAAAAGGTGTGTTAGAGACATACACTAACCACCTGGAAGTGCTTGTGTTATTCTTCAACTTTTAACATTGCCTCTTGTCCTCCTGTCTTCTATTGCTTCCTCAACAATGATTTAATGCAATGTAACTAGGCATTGAAGACGCCCGCGTGCCGCCTTGCGTTGGTTTTGACAGTGGTATCGAATGCCTACCGTTTATGGACAAAGGCAAACGACACTGCTATCGAAAGCCGAAGATTTATGGGCAATGGCAAACCACTCAACGTATATTTGCCAATAAAACTGGAACTGGTTCTGCAACGTCCTGTAAAGGACAACGCGTCTAACTATTTTTTTTTTTCAAATCCATTTACAGGTTGTGTTGAAAACATCCAGCAGTCAACAGGAAGTGGATGTGTTATCCTACCACAGGCGTCGCCAGAGAGCGTCAGATGAGAACGGAGATGTGAGTAATACTTTCTCCCATATGTTACTGGTGATTT